GAGCATTTGCGAATATGCCAGAGGGTGGAGCATCTGTCTCTGACATTTTCTCTCTCTCTTCTCTCTAATTTCTTTTTTATTTTAAGAGTTATTTTATTTATTTGAAAGACAGAGTTACAGAGAGAGGTGGAGACAGAAAGAGAGAGGTCTTCCATCTGCTGGTTCATTCCGGGATGGCTGCAATGGCCGGAGCTGTGCCGATCCAAAGCCAGGAGCCAGGAGCTTCTTCCGGGTCTCCCATGTGGGTTCAGGGGCCCAAGGACTTGGGCCATCTTCTTCTGCTTTCCCAGGTCACAGCAGAGAGCTGGATTGGAAGAGGCGTAGCTGAGACTAGAACCGGCGCCCATGTGGATGCTGGTGCTTCAGGCCAGGGCGTTAACCTGCTGCGCCACAGCACCAGCCCCTCTAATTTCAAATAAAATAAAATAAAATAATAAGAATCTTAACAAAAAAGAAGAATGTAAGTGCAAAATACATTTTCTTTAAATACAAAATGCATAATACACAATAATTTTAGTAAGACTGTAGAACAAAACCGTTTCAGTAACATTTACGATTAATGAAAAGGGACAAGAGGGAAGTAAAAGTTTTTTAAGTCTTAAATTGTTGATGTGGAGGGGAGTAGAGAAATAGAGCATTTTTGTGGGAGAGATTGTTAAGCTTCAATACTGTATAACTAAGCACTAACCAGGATAAAGAAGAACACTTTAAAATAATACATTGCACATCATAATTTTAAAAAAAGATAATACTTGTGACCTAACTGTGCCAAACAGCCAAGCAACTGTGCTGTAAAACAGAAACTGTTAGAAATACCAGGAGAACATGAAGCACTATATAGTCAAAAAAGGTCAATATACCTGTCTCAAGGGGTTGAACTGGTGGGGAAAAAATAATAACAGAACATAAAGGAATTGGATCAATAAATTTGACTGATCCCTCACAGAATAAACCTTTGGTTATATGTCCATAAAACATTGACAGAAATCTAACATAAAATTGGTCACAAGAAAAGCCTTAACAAATTTTTGGGAAAAGTGGATTTTGCAAACTGCATTATCTGGTCATATGCCAATAAAATTAGAAATATATAATGATAAATAACTAAACCTGTAGGTACCTTAAATTTGAGAAATATTCATTGAGATTACTTAGATCAAAGAAGAGACCAAAAATTAAAACTACACACTATCCATTATCCTATGAAAAAAACATTTTTCATTCTCCAGTGTTACACAGTATGACCCATACTCAGAAGAAAATTATAACCTTTAGTGTCTTCTTAATTAAAGAAGGAATATGAAAAATGAAAGAACAAAGTGGCTGTGTTAACACATTCAAACAAAAAAAGAAATGTACCAAAAGAAACCAGACCCAGAACATCAAATAGATACATACACATTTCTAGGCTAATCTACAACTATCAGGCCAATTGGGAAATCAGTGTGTATGGAAATAGAGACAGCATATAAATTCCCTGCAGGTGACTTTGGCTCCAGTCCTCTCATTTTTTACCCATCAGATTCCTATCAGGATTCTAAGTGGCTACACTGGGTAGGGGGCTAGATGGACAGGCTTTTATTCCAGCCATCAGGAGACTGGAAGAAGGGATTTGTAGCTGTACTACTTCCAGTTGAAACCTCTCCTGGCCGGTGCCACGGCTCAATAGGCTAATCCTCCGCCTTGCAGCGCCGGCACACAGGGTTCTAGTCCCAGTCGGGGCGCCAGATTCTTTCCCGGTTGCCCCTCTTCCAGGCCAGCTCTCTGCTGTGGCCCGGGAAGGCAGTGGAGGATGGCCCAAGTGCTTGGGCCCTGCACCCCATGGGAGACCAGGAGAAGCACCTGGCTCCTGCCATCGGATCAGCGCGGTGCGCTGGCCGCAGCGCGCCAGCGGTGGCGGCCATTGGAGGGTGAACCAAGGGCAAAAGGAAGACCTTTCTCTCTGTCTCTTTCTCTCACTATCCACACTGCCTGTCAAAAAAAAAAAAAAGAAAAAAGAAAAAAAAAAAAAAAAGAAACCTCTCCTGCATTAAACATTGCTGCAGAAGGAGATCCATGAATCTTTAGGATGCTACATCACTGAGAAAATCTCATTTTAAAAGGACAAGAATGACCTCAAGGCATAACTAGATTATAGATTCATGAGTTACTGGGAATTACAGAACAGATACCTGTAAATCTGTTGAATTTATTTTAACATATTCTTTCTGTTCTTCTGATTCATCATAACTCTTAAAGACTGTCATTGTCAACAGAAGTTCTTCACCACTGAGGCTTAATAAAATACGACTCCTTGCAATCCCAAAATATAAAGTCTGCCATTTAATATTATATGTTTTTCTAATCTTTCTAATGCCAGGGGCATTTACTTTGTATTTCAGAGGGAAAACCTTTGCCTCCCGGGACAACAGGGAGCATTAAGGATCAACAGCCTTCATTTTGACTCAGTTTCCATTGAAGGCACTAGTGCATTTGAATTACTTGATCTGTGGGGGAGATTGGTAAGAGGGAGGGAGAGGGGATTGTGATTGGTTTTCTGAAAATGTGTAAAACTAGACTGTGTGGTAACAGAACAGGCAATATCTTCCTGCTTTAGGCTTTTCCTGCCAATTAGGAGGCCATGTGTGTGTGTATGTGTACACATGTGCATGTATGCCCTTTACGGGAGAAATACAAAGCTATTCAACATCATACTTTGCTTTTGATAAAATATGGGAAGGAGGGACAAGAACTGTAAACCCTAGAAAACATCTTCCATAACAATTTATAGCATATATAGTAGATGATGAGTAAAACAGCTCAAGCCTTTTGTACTATATTAGGAACTATGACAAGTAACAGGACTAAACTTCTTTTGAATACTAATTATTATTATTTTACTAGTAAGGATTTTTTCAGTTAATATTTAAAAGAGTGCAGAAGAACTTTGATAAATCTATATGAATTCTGTAGTTGAATTCTGTAGTTGATGTCCAAAGAAAACATATATTTATATTACCCTTTCCATTTTATGTAATTTTACCTGTTTTTCAAGTTTGTTATAACAGAGATAAGCATTCTCCTAATTTTCAAATTGCTTTCCTCTTCCCTTTCAACTGAAAAGGGAAAAATTCATTTTGCTTTACTGTTAATTTTTCTTTTGAGATTAACCTATAAAATGAAATAGCAAGAAAACATACTTATCTGTACATATTTATCATGTTCATAGCAATTTAACTCACAATAACTAAAATATGAAATTAACCAGATATCCAGCAACTGATGACTGGATAAAGTTTAATATATATGTATATATACACACACACACACACACATATATTTATATGTGTATATATATAGGTATATATATATAGATAGATAGATACACACACCCATGGAATACTGCTCACCCATAAAAAGAAATGAAATACTGTCTTTCACAACACAATGGATGTAATTAGAGACCATTATGCTTAGTGAAATAAATCAGTCCCAAAAAGACAAATGTTTTCCTGACTTGTGGTAACTAATACACAGAATCCCAAAAAAATGTAGTGAATATGAGCAAAATTGACATTTTGAGATATCAGATTTGATATTGTTTTTTTTTTTAAAGATTTAGTTATTTATATATTTATTTAAAAGGCAGTGTTACAGAGAGGCAGAGAGCGAGGTCTTCCATCCACTGGTTCATTCCCCCAAATCACTGCAATGGTCAGAGCTGGGCTGATCCGAAGCCAAGGAGCCAAGAGCTTCCTCTGGGACTCCCAAGGGGATGTAGGAGCCCAAGTACTTGGGCCAGCTTCTACTGCTTTCTCAGGCCATAGTAGAGAGCTGAATTGGAAGTGGACTCAAACCGGCACCCACATGGGATACTAGCACTGCAAGAGGCGGCTTTACCCACTAAGCCAAGACCCCTTGATTATTGTTTGTAACCCTTGTCTATATTCTTGGGGAACAGTGGTTTTTCTACTCACTACTTGCTGAATTATTTATTTAGTAGAGGGTTAAGCTTGTTACTATAAAATAAAATAAATAAATAAATAAATAAAATAATATATAAAATAATAAATAAAATAAAATAAATTGAAATATGTCATTGTAAACATTAAAGGAAAAATAAGAAAGAAATAGGAGGTAGGGTGGAAGGGAGGAAGAGTAGGATGGAATTATGCTCTTAAATCTGTATATGAAATACATGAAATGTGTTCCTTTTATATAAATAAAAATATTTTTGATAGTTAAAAAAAGAAATATATTGCCTTTAGAGCAAAAGACACAATGGCACTGTTCTCACTATCTGTAGTTGTGTTGGTGGACATCTGCAAGCTTTTGCATTAATCCATTTAATTGTGAAATCAAATCACACTGACCACTGGACCCAGCCTCATTTCAAATCATTAAATGTGTGTGACAAACATTTCTGTCCTTGGTCTTTCTTTGCTATGTACCTTAATTGTTATATATCAGCTTAAATTTTTTTTTAGGTGTGTATATTTTCTCATTCTCAGCAGATGTTTCTAACAACATTATATTCTATGGCATTGCAAAGGATCGTTTTTAGATTTATTTTTAAAGATGTATTTATTTATTTATTTAAAAAGCGGAGTGACCGAGGAGGAGAGACAGAAGGAGAGAAGAATCTCCATCTGCTGGTTCACTCCCCAAATGCCAGCCCGAAGCCAGGAATCAGGAGTTCAGTCCAGGTTTCCCATGTGGATGCCTGGGACCCATTCACTGCCTTCCGTCATTTACTCCCTTCCAGGCACATTAGCAGAGCGCCAGTGTGGAGGAGCCGGGACTGAAGTGCACGCCGGTATGGGATGCAGGCATCCTGGGCAGCTGCTTAACTCACTGCACCACAACACTCACCCCCGGATGATCTTCATTGCATTCCATCATTCATTTCACTTTTGCCGTGTGCTTTCATGGGCTTTCTAAATGATTTTCTTTTAGTTTTAGGTTTTAAAAAGATACACCGCATCTGATCAATCTCTTGTTTCCTTTGTCTCCCTCCATAGGATGAGTATAAGCCAGAGAAGGCCTTGTCTGAGGAGGACCTGAAGAACGCTGTGAGCCTGCACCACGCCCTGGCCTCCAAGGCCACGGACTACGAGAAGAAGCCCAACGTGTTCAAGCTCAAAACTGCCGACTGGAGGGTCTTGCTTTTTCAAACCCAGTATGTGTTGTTGGTTTGTGTTTATTTGCTTTTTATTTTTACTTTGTTTATCACTGCTTTTTTAAAATATTTATTTATTTACCCTTTCTGTCTGTCTCTCTCACTGTCTAACTCTGCCTGTCCAAAAAAAAAAAAAAATATTTATTTACTTGAAAAGCAAACTTACAGAGAGGCAGAGAGAGAGAGAGAGCGAGCGAGCGAGCGAGCGCTGGCTTATCACTGCTTTGACAAAGAAATAGAATCAGGTTCTGCAGGAGACGTTTTTTGAGTTGGAGTCAAAGTCATGAACTTGTTCCATTAGGGAAACAACTGCCTAAAAGACTAGAGTGAAAACCAAGAAAGCCCGGTCCATGGTTTTTTATGCTACAGAGGAGCTCTGTGACTTCAATCAGCCGCTTGCCGTCTCCAAAACTCAGTGTCTTCATCCATACAAATGCGACGGTTTTGGAAAGATTCTATTACAAAATGAGTAAGACCTGGATTTCAGTCACCATTTCCTAGTCTGTCTTCTCTTTGAGCCTTGGCTAGTAGACAACAATGTTTATCACACAAGGGTTAAATAACTGTATGAAGCAGTGCACGTAGTGCCTTGCACATAGAAACTGGTCAGTACTTGGAAATGTCTGTCTCATTCTCTGGTTCCATTTCCTTCTGAGCTCAGTCTGCTAACATGCCAAAAGAGAAAGAAAATCATACACCAAGTGAGGGAAATGGGTGGTTTGCTATTTTAGTAAGGGTCTACTGACAGACTTGGGAGCAGAAGCCGAATGTTGCACGTACAGAATTCTGCATTTGTGAAATGAGAAACTGAGTTTTCAGAACCCAGCCTCTAAGACAGGAAACACATTAGCATCAGTGTCTGTAACAGACAATATTAGATATTCACAACTTGAGCCCACTTCAAAATCACCCTCAACCTAGCACCACCCAGCTGGCCTCAGTTGACATTGGAATTAAAATTTGACATCAAGATAATCGTGAAACTCTTGTATCTGTGTGCTTGTTGATTGGAGCCACACAAGATCAAAGCGAGTGAGAACTGAGAACGAGAACAGGTACCCTGGTAATTTGTAGATGTTGAACGTCTGAAGTTATTAAATTGCTGACTTCAGGTACAGAGAAATTATAAGGAAGGAAGCTCAAGGGTTTTGATTGTGAAAATAGGATAGTTTGCACCACACAGGGACCCAGAGACAGATTTATAATTCAGCTGTTGGATGTAAAGAGTTTTTTTCAGATTATCCTGGTCCCCCCATATTTTTTTTATTCTAAATACCAGCTTTAATAACTGAGAAGATCTAATTACTTCAGATAGAGTCCGTGCAGAACCAGAGTGATCGGATTAGAGAGCCTGTGGGTGCAGGGAGGACTGGGGATCAAGTGTGACATCTCTCAGAGTTGATGAAGAAAAGGATTACAGATATGGCTGATGCTGTTTTCCACATTCCCACTCACTGAGTATGCATCTGGTTAATAACTTATCGTGTCTCATGACCATTTATTCATTCATTTCTAAATTCTCAAGGATTTCTTAAGTACTGCAGTGCTGGGCTTTCTGGATATGAGACGTATATGTAAAGAATGATCAAGATGTCAGATGATTTCCACCTCCTTCAGGTGGATAGATTTTTAAGCAATCTTTTGAAGGCATACTGACTTTAATACTTACATACCATAAAATTTTGTCTATTTTAAACATGCATTTCAATGATTCTTAGCAGATTTACAGAATAGTGTGGCCATCCTCACAGTCCAGTTCTGGAACTTCCATCACTCCAGATGTGAAATGTGTCCATTTCATAATCACTGCTCATTATGCTCTTAGCCCCAGACACATCACTGATCTACTTTCCATTTCTAAGGCTTTGCCTTTTCTGGACATTTTCAGTAAATGGAATCATACAATACATGGTTTTTATGTTTGCCCTCTTTCACTTGGCATAAAATTTGTTGCATGTTGCAGTATGTCATACTTTTGTGGCTGATACTGTTCAGTATACAGATTTACCACATTTGTTTACCCATTCATTAATTGATGGACATTTGGAGTGTTTTCATTTCTGACTCTTAGGAATAATAATGCTGTGAACATTGATATACAAATCTTTGTGGTAGCTATATTTTTTGACTTGTCTTGGGTGCCTAATTAAGTTGTATGATAAACTTAACTTTTAGAGGAACTTTTAAAGGAACTGTCTGCCTATCCCATGCCCTTTTTATAGTCTCTCTATAAATGTATGTTTCATGTGAGTTTTAAATTATGTGATTGAAGAAGATGAACTAATGCTTTGATTAATTTTGGCCTGGCTTAGTATCTGACAAGAGATTCAGGTTTAGTGAACATATTTCTCTTTTTCCTTCTATATCCTAAAAATGTAATTATGGTCTTATACAATGATAACCATAGGCCTTTTACTAATATGGTAATGGCTGTTGAGAACGTTAGTCTCCCAAGAAGTCTTGTCAGGGATTAGGTGTACCAAAATGAATAAATGATGTTTGTGTGTGTGCCGTAAGTCAGTAATGCGAAATGGACAAAGTGCAATACCCTTAGTTACAGAAATATCCTAACATAAATATGTCTGTTTCTCATAGGAGTCCAGAGGAAATGCAAGGGTGGATAAACAAAATTAACTGTGTTGCAGCTGTATTTTCTGCACCGCCTTTTCCAGCAGCCATTGGCTCTCAGAAGAAGTTCAGCCGCCCACTTCTGCCTGCCACAACAACAAAATTGTCTCAAGTAAGCCACTTCCAAAGTACTTTGACCTTGAAAAAAGCAAAATTATTAGTAAAATAGTCTTACTAATATTTGTATTTGAATATTACTCTAGATCTGGGGGAATAAATGGAACAAAATGCCGTATACTCGGTTTGACACCTCGTTTAAATGTACATAGCTGAGTCATAGTTGGTAGGATAGCTGCTTTGTTGTAGTTTCTGTGATTCATATCAATTTACTATTTAATCAGTTGTACCTGCCTGGTCTTCTCTTCCTCAAGCAACATTTTTTTCAGCATACTTACATTTAAAAAAAACACACACACAACAAACAATTAAAAGCCAAAGAGAATGTTGTACCAAGAAAAGAAGAGAGACAGGTAAAATTAATATTAAAAAAAAAAAAAAAACTGTTGTATTAAGTGGCAAGGATGTCACCGGGTGACCCTGGTACAGTGATGGGAACAGAAACTACGTTGTTGTTACTGCTTCTGTCAGTCCAGAGGTCTTTTATTTACATTATACTTACTGCGCCATGAATTCACAGGGAGCAGATTCCAGCAGCTCAGGCTCCCTTCCATTTGTTCTGACAAAGTGGGCTTCTCGGAGGGGAGCAGGCCAGAGCTTCAGGTGAACCCGGGTGCCTTTCTCCGTGGCTGCTTTCATTTTCTCATCATTTTCCTTTGCACCTTTCAGGAAGCTGTTGGCTTCTAGAGTACTCGATATGCTCCATACATACATTAATTTTCTTGGCAAGGATTTTTCCCTTAACTTGTTCACCACAATGCCAACAGCATGCTGGGTAACACTGTAGACTCCCCGACTGTTGCCTTGATGACATGTGTGGGACATTCCTTTTTTAATGGTACCCATCCCTTGATACCACTGTCCTTGTAGATTCACCCGTGTGTGGCCAAAGGAACAACTCGTGTTTTCTAGAAGGCCCAGAGAATGTGTTCCAGGTGCTTCTCTTCTTTCCCTCTGTGTTCATCATTTTGGTGAATTACTGGAAGATGGAAAGTCCACACTGATCTTTGACAAGAATGGAAGGCAGTGAGGAAGGGAATGTGAACAAGTCTTACTATAATTTACAAAAAATAAGAAGACTTGTAGGAAGAGAGGAAATGTGGTTTTAGGAAGGATTCTTTTTTCATTGATCTTGAAATTCATAATTATTATGAACATGTATTGAATGCTTCCCATGTATGCATTGCTATTACTGTGTATCCACACACCACTAAAATCACTTAAGAACAGAATCCAGCTCAGCCTACGGGACAGATGGCATTCGATTTTCAAGGACACTGAACACAGTGCTCCAAGAGAAAGGCAAGGCTCTCACTGCTGACCAGAAGATGTGTTGCTCAGCTCCTCCATCTGTCCAACTAAAGCATGGACTCTCAGAGCAAATGCATTTTCCTGCTTTAAATGTATATACTTACCATAAACAGTATACCACATAAATAGGAAATTGCATGTCACAGAAACAGTAAACCACATTACGTAAGGCAAGAGGAGAAAAAAATTGGACTAGAAGCACAAAATAGCTGCAAAAGTAGCTTTAACAAGCTTCAGAGGTTGAGTTTTTATTCTATTAATTTCACTGTGGATTTTCCAGTCATTGTTATATTTCAGTACCTGGGTCTTTTCTCACAATCGCATCTATGAGAGATGTAAGAGAGAAAGGGAATTGAACTGAAGAGGAGTATAAAGCGGTATGCCACCTCTAGAAGCTTTATGTAGCTGAAAGCTACATGTGAACTTGTCTTTGTTCGTCCCTCACTGTGGAATCTGCAGTTCTGTGGCTTTCTATTTTGAAAAATGTTCTACTCTCAGTTTATGTACACTAATAAGTCACGTGCATGTGAAAGTGAATGTATCCATCTATTTGTGTCTTTTAACTCAGAGAACAGGCAAACAGGCACATTCATCAGGGTAGAATCGTTTGTTTTAAACAAGTGTCCTACACTAGAACCAAAAATAGGGCATATAAGTTTTTAAAATTTTTCTCTTCATTTTGAATGTAAAATCCACAAAGATGAAAACAAATGAATGTGGTATAATCAAAGTGATGAATTCACAATTTTAATTAAGAAAGTGATAACCACAAAGAAGCATTCTCCCATGTCACACAGTCAAGATGGTCACACGTTTTTGGAATTCCCCTACGTCCACTCCCAGTAAGGCAGCAAGTCCTTGCGGGCCTCAGTTTTCCATCTGGAAACTGAGGAGGCAGTTCTAGAATGTTTAAGTGTTTTTATTCCCTGTCACTAACTCTGTCATTTCTTTGCTCAGATCATAAGTTTTATTCACTAAAAATAAAAAAAGATGTTTTACCTTTGAGAGTAACAGGACAGTTTGGAAACAGATATGTAAAACCAAGCATGTGATGAAGAATAGCTTACAAGAAGGAAGAGAAGAGTTAGTTTTCCCACAGCCTAGTACAGATGGTTGGGAAGCCTCACTTTAGATCCAGACTCCTGAGGGTATCTGGGCTGGGGCCACAGTGCACCCACAGCAGATCCTGGAGTACCTGCCTACATGTACCCACAGCATCCCCAGTGCCCAGCTGTCCTCAGCCTATGCCCTATTGACCTTTTAGCCTGATTATAGGGGCTGTCCTGTGTATTACTGAATGTTTAGCGATATCCCCGACTTCTACAAACCCTGAGATGCCATTCCTACGTGTAACAACCAAAAATGTCTCCAGACATTGCCATATGTCCAGTGGGGTCAAAAAATCCACCCCTCACCCCCATTGCTAACCTCTGCTTTAGCTTAGTGGTGCTTTGTCTCTAAGCCTGGTCATCCTTGCTTTCTCCATACCATGATAACCTGGCAGTAATTGCCTAAATACCAGAACCCCTTGAATAATTTCAGTTTACAAAATGCATGTATATCAATGTGAGTACCCCTGCTGGAAAAAAGATAAACAGTGTTAGAAAAAAATTAAATGTTCAATTAAAAGACTGTTTGGTACTTTTTAAGACATGTTGTTCATCACCCTGTCATTTGTGAGCTTTTCTTTAATTTATTCTTGTCTTCTATCCAAAACATATTAGCTTAATTATTAAAATGAATTATTGTCGGTGCCGCATGGCTCTTCCTGAGCAATTCTGCTGTGTGGGAGGAGTCACCTTCCTCAGTTGTTTTTCATGGCAGTGTTGCCAGAGCACATTTTTCTTCTTCTGTTGGAGGTGGAGATGCTAGTTTGAGAATTTAAGTTTGTTTCCTGCTTCTGGGGCAACTCTACAAACATAAATTCCATGTCTCCTTCAGGATCTACTCAAGACCTCCCTTTCTGCTTATCAGAGTCATTCTCTTTAGGCTTAAATGTGCACAGAAATGATCTGGGACTTGCATGAAGTGGACATTTCCCAGCCCTGCGAGGTTCAGGTCCGGGCCGGGGTGCCCAGTGTTTCTGACACAGCAGGTGACTGGAGGGCAAGCGGTGCTCTCACACTGGACATGCTGGGCTGTGATTCTCTGAGACCTGCCCCTCTCATAAGCACCATTTCCTGATACCTAGTCCTATTTTCTTCTTTGAATTCCAGCCATTCTCTTGTGAGTGTTTAAATCCATGGATCCTTTCAGGGGACAAGCCTTATGATAAACACCGATCAGAAACCCAGGAAGGTCTTGTACTTGCTTCTCACAATGAAACAGCCCTCAACCCCATGCTGTCCTGTGCCTTGACCAAAGGCGGATGTTCCCACTGTTCCCACCTGCCCAGTTTCATACTCCTGCCATAAAGGCCTGTCCTTTTTAGCTCTAAATGTCTTTCACATGCTGTCCATTTTCCTTACTTCAGACTTCTTTCATCTTCTACCTGATTCACGGGTTACCTAACTCTTTTGGTCATTCACATTTTCAATACTAAATGTTTGAGCAGCAGCCCCTAACATGTGTCTTAAAAATAAAATATATTACATATCCTACTGTCAACCCAGATAGTAATATCAGTAAAGCCCAACATTTCCTAGTTTTCCTAAGATTTTAAGTATCTTTAAAATTTTTCACAGTGACTAAAGAATTCATTTAAATGCATTTAGAACTCATAAGTGAATTTGTCATAGATACAGGAAACAAGGATTTTGTGTAATATGTGAATTATATCTCAACACAGATTTTTCAGATTCTCCCTAGTGGATCCTCTTGGCAGGTGCACATACTCCGCACTGGAAAGCGATGACCAGATGACCTCCATGACCACGCAAGGTCTCTGTTCTAATCTTGCCTCCCTCCAATACTTCCCTCACGATTCTGGTTAAAATGTGATTCTCATTGTGTCGCTTACTCTTCCCTGGCTTACTCCTGCCAGAAGGATGCAGTCCAAACCCCTTGGCAGGGCCTTACATGGTAACCACACTTTCCCAAAGCAGATACATTTCACATTTATTTCAGAGGTCTGAGTTTAGCATATGTATATGAAGTACTTGATAAAACATTAAATCATGTGGAAGTTATTTAATGCCTTAAATTCATTAAACATTGTACTTAAGGTCTTCAGATGTCTTAAACATGAAATGACGAAATAGAATCTTTCTGATGGTGCTTTCTATAGTAACCTCCTCCAAACTAACTCAAAGGCACATGTTCTTTATTCTAATTTCCATCCGACTGGGGTTGATAAGGCTCCAGTGTTAAGCTGTTCTGCTGCTTAATGAGGGCCTGTATATCATGGTGCTGTTTAGTTAGTGGTGTAGTCATTATAACTATAGAACATATAGAACTATAGAGCCTTGACTCTCAGCTTATGGAGGCTTAAGGTGTTTGTTAATGTCAGGCAGGCAAAACCTATAAACCAAAAACTGCCACATACCATATTCTCTGCTCAACACTGTACTAGATGCTGGAGGATTTAAAAGAAGGGAAAAGGGGGATTTTTTTTTTTTTTTTTTTTTTTGGCTTCAAAGAGCTTGTAAACACCAAATGAAACAATTTATGTGAGGATACTTAAAAGCAATTGTGGAAAATGGAACTGAAAGATAATCTCATTTTGGTGCAAACTATTTTTGAAAT